TTGCATATTTACAATTCATAATTAGACAATATCGCTATTTGATATAAGAAACGTTTTTCATCGATTCGCTTCTTCCATAGAGGCTGGGTTTCACCAATTGAAATTTGTCTGTACAATATATGTCAAGTTACCTGCATTTTATTCATTATATAGCCGGATTGTGTTTTAGATAAATTGAGACGTAGACATAATGATGTAAGGCTGTCGCTGCTTTTATCTGTTTACGCAGTGGATGCGAAAATGAGAAAGTTATCGTTTACACGAGTCACCGACTTTTGTATGCAATTGAAAAATATCCATTTACTCCCAATAAACTGTTTGTCCAGAACTCCTTTGTCACTTACTGTCTTTGCACTACACATGACGTCATAACGTTCAATATTTGCAATGACGTCATTTCGTTCAAGATTGCAAACAGCAAGAAAAAAAGAGCAATCAGATGTTTGGTGGCAGCACTTGCCTTTAAAAAGGCCTCTACAAAAAAACAAAAGAATTTTTGGACAAAACCCTGGCTAGGCAGGAAAAATCAGCTTGGCGTGTGTAGGATGCTGCTACAAGAGCTAAAGAATGAAGATAGTGATTCTTTTACTGTAGAAATTTTCTAAGATGCAGTCCTCAACAATTTTTAACATTGTTGAATTTGATCACAAACAAAATTGCAAGGAAGGCGACAAATATGAGATCCCCAATTCAACCAGAGGAAAGACTTGCAGTAACTCTTAGATACCTAGCTACTGGCAAGCATATGGCAAAATCAAAGGTACTTTATTTAAATCATTTGCACCACGTGACTTTGTCCCTTTTGATCAAATTACTTCCCTTAGCTTAAGATTGAAAATATAATTTATTATAGATTTGCGGATAATCCAGTCCTTTTCCGTCATGTATCTAAAACTAATTTATCTTTAAAAACTTCCTTTGGCGGATATTTACAAAAATGCTGTGTAATTCTAAGGGAAAATGCTTAAAATTTGACTTAACTTTAATCTTTTTCCCATCGGAAGTTGTTTGTTTGGCCTTTTTGGGTGACGGGCTTACGTCTGAATCATCCAACACTTCTGTATTTTCGTTCAATAATGTTAAGTTCTGAAATATGGAAAAGTTAATTGTAAATGAAATAGTTATGGTACTAGTAAGTTGTTGTTATATTTCAAAATATTTTAAAATATTAAATAAATATCTTATAAAGTAAAAGAAATATCAAAGGTAATTATACCTATACAAACCATATCTTCTTAATTTTATTGTCGAGCCTGAGACTTTTGTCGCAGAAAGCTCGACATAGGGATAGTGATCCGGCGGCGGCGGCGTTAGCTAACTTCTTAAAAGCTTTATATTTTAGAAGGTGGAAGACCTGGATGCTTCATACTTTGTATATAGATGCCTTATGTTACGAAGTTTTCGTCAGTCACATGTCCAATGTCCTTGACCTCATTTTCATGGTTCAGTGACTACTTGAAAAAAAAGTTAACATTTTTTGTAATGTTAAATTCTCTCTTATTATAAGTAATAGGATATTTGTCCTCATGCCCGTCAGACAGTTTTCACTTGACCTCGACCTCATTTCATGGATTAATGAACAAGTTTTGTCAAGTCCATATCTTAGATACTAAAAGCAATAGGTCTAGTATATTTGGTGTATGGAAGGACTGTAAGGTGTACATGTCCAACTGGCAGGTGTCATCTGACCTTGACCTTATTTTTATGGTTCAGTGGTTATAGTTAAGTTTTTGTGTTTTTGTCTGTTTTTCATATACTGTATATATGCAATAGGTCTACTATATTTGGTGTATGGAATGATTGTAAGGTGTACATGTCTAACTGGTAGGTGTCATCTGACCTTGACCTCATTTTTATGGTTCAGTGGTCAAAGTTAAGTTTATGAATTTTGGTCTTTTTATCTAATACTATATGCAATAAGTCAACTATATTTGGTATATGGAAATATTTTATGATCAATATGTCAGTCGTTTAGATTTAATTTGACCTTGACCTCATTTTCACGGTTCATTGTTCAGTGTTAAGTTTTTGTGTTTTGGTCTGTTTTTCTTAAACTATAAGCAATCATCTGTTGTATGGAAGAATTGTTAGCTGTACATGTCTGCCTGGCATAGTTCATCTGACCTTGACCTCATTTTCATGGTTCATTGGTCAATTTTTAGTTTTCTTGGTTAATGTTAAGTTTATGAGACAGTTGTAATAAAGCTTTATATTTAGGACTATCAACATAATATCAATGATTAGTAAAGAAGGCGAGACATTTCAGCGTGTGCACTCTTGTTTTAATAGGTTGTTAGTGGCTTTTAATTACCTGTCCGTAACTGTGAGTACTCTAAGATCTGTACTTAGTTTCCTTATGTTGTTGGAATATACAAGTACGGCCACTTCCACCCTGTGTTTTTGTTAGATGTATTTTTATTTGTATCCATCTGATGAGCTAAACCTTTTTCAACTGATTTTTATAGTTCGTTCTTATGTTGTACTGTTCCACCACTGTTCCAGGTTAGGGGAGGGTTGGGATCTCGTTAACATGTTTAACCCAGCCACATTCTGTATGTATGTGCCTGTCCAAAGTCAGGAGCCTATAATTCAGTGGTTGTCGCTTGTTGGTGTGTTACATATTTGTTTTTCGTTCATTTTTTTGTACATAAATTAGGCCTTTAGTTTTCTCGTTTGAATTGTTTTAACATTTGTCATTTCGGGACCTTTCATAGCTGACTATGCGGTATGGGCTTTGCTCATTGTTGAAGGCCGTACGGTGACCTATAGCTGTTAATTTCTGTGTCATCTCTTGTGGAAAGTTGTCTCATTGGCAATCATACCACATCTTCTTTTTATACGCCCGTCAAAATTTTGACGGGACGTATTATGGTATACAAATGTCCGGCGTCCGTCTGTCCATCTTCCGGCGTAAGTTTTCGTTCTTTCTTGCTGTGCGGAAAAAAAATCTCAAATAAGAATAATTGTTCCAAAGTTTTTATAATCTATTGTTCATGAACAATGTAAAATGCTTTTTTTTTAAAGGCGATTTATTTATCAAAGACAAACTATGAATCGTATAAATGAGCTTTGATTTAGGGACGACATCAAAAGATCAATGTAAGATAAAAAAAACTTAATTCCAATATTTGGGGGTGGGGTAAAAAGTGCTGCAAGTTTTGTTTATTTGACATCGATTTTACATATATCTGTATTGGTCAATCAACTTGATTTTTCCCAAATTAAGTTAAGAGGGGGTTGGGGTCAGTGAAAAAACTATGTGAATTAAGTTTGTTTATCCTACATTGAACTTTTGGTGTCGTCCCTTATTTCCTGTGAATTTTTATCCATGACTTAATTCAGGCAAATGTTTTGCCTTTCTTGCACTGTTGAAAATAAGGACAGCGGGACATCAGATATAAATACTGTTAGTATTAAATCGCACTGATAGCAGTTACAAAATTTTAGATAAGTGAAAATAAGTTGAAATATAAAAGAAAACTTTCAAATAAGTATTACTCCTAAACACACATAAAAAGGGAGACCCACTATAAAAGCGCTTGCGACCTAGGTCGCTTCATGATGATGTCTTTAGTTATTGCAATTGATAAATCTTCACTTATCAATCAGAGAGAGAGCTCTACTTATCAATATCAATAAAAATATATTTTTTAACTGTTGAATGACTTATTCTTCAATTACATGTATTTAGTCTTAGAATTTATATCTTTAATTTTCATCAATTGTCTAAATTTGATTTATTGAACCTTTTTGTCTGCTTACGCCTTACCTAACTAAAGATGATTGAGATATGTTTAGCCGTTTTTACATAAAACATTTAAAAAATTAAAAACATCTAGCTTGTAAGTTATTTCTTCAAAGACATATATAGCATCATTTTAAAGCAAACTTATTTGTCCAAGGCATAAATGAATGATTGTACTGAAATGAATGAATACATTAGCCTATTGTTAGAAAGCTGGACAAACTTCTGTTTGCTGGTGTTTATATGTTTATAAAAACACAGCTGGTATTATGCCATATAATTTCATTACTAATAGTGATTAAAATGCGTAATCTACGGTTCGGTACCTATTTCGTCGTCAGTGCTAATGAAAATATTAAATTTCTTGGTAACAAGGATGTCATTTAACCTCCTAGATGGTATTTTTAAAGATACATGAACATCAAAACTCATGAGATACGTTTTATGAGTGTTAAAAAATGTCATTCAAGATCAATTAACAAAAATTATGGATTTTTTCCCTAATTTTTCAAAATAATTTCCCCTTCGTACATTGATTTATAATCTCGACGCGGTTTTTATCTCAATATCATAGCCCTTTTAAAGACCACTAACTCAAGTATCGTAATTTATAACTCCCGTGAAGACGCTACCCAGCAGGCATTTCAACGTTGAAACAACGTTGAATCAACGTTGATCTGTAACGTTGAAAAGACGTTGAAATAACGGTTGGTTTTGAAAGTTGACACAACGTTGAATATCTGACGTTGAAACAACGTTATATTTTCAACATTGTATCAACGTTGATTTTTGATTGAATATAGGTTGAAACTTAACATTGAAACAACGCCACCCTAATATTGCAACAACATTCTTTCATGTTGAAATAAGCAATACGTTGCTTGTTGTTGGTTCATCTGTCACATGTGTTTGTCGTTACAAATTTAGGCGGTTGGTTTTTCTCGTTGGAATTGATTATTGAAGGGTGTATTGTGTACGGGTCTTCTATTGCGGTGTGGTGTGTGCTTATTGTTGAAGTCCGTTTAGTGACCTCCACGTCAATTGGACTCTGGTTGATATTTGTCTCACTGGAAATCATACCACATCTTCTTATATCTATAATAGTTAGTAACCACAAAAGATATTGAAGCCACATGACTCTACAGAGGACATCAGCAAGATTTGAAAAAAAAAACAGTACAACAGATGTCAAGTTATGACAAAAGCTAAATTAAATATAGCCAAAAGGTGATCTGGTAAATTAATACAAATAATCTCTTAATCAATTTTAATTATTTTCGTGAAAATGAATTGTAGTCTCTAAACTCCTCCAACCATTTCTGGTGCACAATCCTTCTTTAATTCAGCTTCTGTTATCTTTGTGTAGGCCTCCATTACTCTTCCTGAAAAAACAAACACAAATAATATTTTGTAAACATGACTTAGCAATTACGTAGAACGTCAAAGGCAGGGAATAAAATGTTATATAGGCCAGGTTTTTTTAAAAATAATTTACTGGTTTATATAATAGCGGATCCGTTTTTACCATTTTTTTCGCTCCTGTACATGTACAATCTAGCAATGCCGCCTATCTCGAGCACCACGATCTATTGTTCAAATGCCACCTATTTCGGCCACCACGATCTATTGTAACAATGCCACCCATCTCGAGCATCAGGATCTATTGTAACAATGTCACCCATCCCGAGCACCAGGATCTATTGTACAAATGCCATCCATCTCGAGCACCAGGATCTATTGTAACAATGCCACCCATCTCGAGCACCAGGATCTATTGTTACAATGCCACCCATCTCGAGCACCAGGATCTATTGTTAAAATGCCACCCATCTCAAGCACCAGGATCTATTGTAACAATGCCACCCATCTCGAGCACCAGGATCTATTGTTACAATGCCACCCATCTCGAGCACCAGGATCTATTGTTAAAATGCCACCCATCTCAAGCACCAGGATCTACTGTTAAAATGCCACCTATTTCGAGCACCAGGATCTATTGTAACAATGCCACCCATCTTGAATACCAAGATCTATTGTAACAATGCCACCCATCTAGAACACCAGGATCTATTGTAACAATACCACCTGTCTAATTGATTGCAGAGGTTATGTTTTAAATTTGATATGCATTAAAAAAAATATTAATCCAAATAAAATCAAATCAAATCAAATGTCTTTACTAGTATTCCTAATTAAAGGGCCCATATAGAGCATATAAATCAATTCAAATCACAAAGTTCACACAAACAACACAGGCAATCCAACATACATACTGATTATTGATAATCAAAAATGTTAAAATTTAAAAAAAAAATACATACCTTGACAGCTATTACTTTTATCCTTAAATCTTTCTTTCTTAAGTTACTGATCTGTCCCTTTCCTAAGTTACTGTTCTGTCTCTAATACTGTGCAAAAAATAAGAATAACATCGATCATCATCGCCAAGCAATATTTTAAATTTGTAAAATTCGATTGAAGAGTAAAAAGAAATTATTAAAAATTTCAGAGCATAGTTGACAATAATTGAAATAGTGTGATTATGGATGACGGGTTAAAATTTTAGATAAAAAAGGGGGAGATGATAATCTTACTTCGCAAAAGTTCTTTTTCTTTAACAAATCAGCAGTAAATAACTAAAATGAGCTGTATGTAGGCTGAGTATGGTGTTTTCCAGATTGTAGTACATATTTATATAGAAGTGCAGTCATAAATTTGAACGTACAACAAAAAAGACGATGTACACACTGAAGTCAGTAATTTTATCTTTACAACATACACTATGGCGAGATTTTCAAAATATACACGTACGTTTGTGCATTTATAATCTCCCAATGTTAACATCACACAAGCATTAAAAGACAATTAGTACAGCAACGGATAATAATTTAAAGAAACACTTACATTTCTATGAATTCTTCTTTGCTGAAAACGGTCCTAAATATTGTCCAGGGAAATTATACAATTTCCGCGTTTGAAAAAGGCGGTTACACACGTGAACTCATACATTAATCAGCATCATGTCACGTGATAATTTTATCAATTATAGATTATTGGGAGTGCTAATCCTCGTGTTTCAGTTGTGTAGATGCCGCACTTTCACATGCTGTGTCTTATCTTTGATTAAAATATTTCCGGATAATAACAAATTAGTTAGTAGCATATTTCGATGAATGATAATTTAAATTTGTACACTTTTATGATTTTGATGAACGTCCCGGTTTTGGAATATGCCTAATTTTACTAGATATTGTACAAAAAAAAATTAAAGGAAACATTGATTACAATTTTTCATTGCAAAATCCTTATGAACTTTTATTGATACGATAACAAAGGATGTACTACTATAATGATTCACCTTTAACGCTGATGGTGGATAATTTTTTTTTACACCGATGAATACATTTTTTTTTCTGGACGAACCTCCATCGTCGACATGACAACCAACATTTAACGTTGAAACAACATATTTATTTCAACCTAACTTCAACATTGAAAATTCAACTAAAATTCAACGTTGAATCAACTTACTTTCTGCAACATAACTTCGACGTTGCTGTTATAACGTTGAAACAACGTTGAAGCAACGTCATGACGAAATAACAACCACATTTCAACGTTGAAATGACGTTGCGTGCCGGGTGGGTAATTAATTTTTATCGGAGACATGTCTCTGTTGTATTTAACAAGATAAGTAAATACAACGACGTCTATTGGAAGGAGTTAAGAGTTATAGAATAACTAATCGAAGAATTCAAATAGAGAAAAATATTCAACGAGTGACCGAACAACACATTAATTCACGAATGCGCGTAGCGCATGAGTTAATTATCAGTGTTGTTCTTTCACGAGTTGAATATTTTTCGATATTTGAATTCTTTGATTAGTTATTCTTTTTATTACATTGGCAAATGGCTTTTTTATGAAATAAAGTAGAAAACGTAAGGAACTATATCTTTTTCTACGCATTTACAATTTGTTTTGATCCGCATTATCGACGTCTTGACAACGCCTATTGTTGTATGACGTCAGAGGAGTGAAATAACCACGTTTATTTCACATGTGAAATTATCGGTTTTTATTTCACTGGGAAATCAATGTAATTCATTGCAACCAATGTAATAATTATCGTTAATTATCTACTGTCCAATCTAAACAGATTGGGTTATCTCGCTTGGAAATGTGACATATTCTTGCACATGTTTCATAACGTATTTAGTATTCAAAGTAACATTACTCACTTCATCGTTTACATTTAATAAATTTACAGTTTTATTCACTTCATAATTCCATCCTTTTTTCTATACATATACATCACACAAATAACTCATTGTTTTATCACATTTTGAAAAGGGACTGACACTGAGGAAGGCCAGAATTATGTTAACCTTTATATTTTGTTAATTATGTGTCATTGGGTTGCTGTCACATATTAACAAATACTCACATCTGTGTTTATTTATATCTGTTAAATTTATTCACACATTCGGGGATAAATAGGGCTTGACCAGGCATGCACATAACTTATGTATTATTGACGACAATCTGTTGTCCTCTAGATGTCTTATAGATCTGATTCTGTTACATGTGTTTTAGATTTGTCTTCATTTACGTTTAATTAAATCTATTTTATTAATAATTTAAAAAGAAGGGGTGATTCAGTCACATTCGGCATCCAAAAAATGCACAAAAAGTTCCCAGAACACTCTTCCTAAAATTCACGTATATATAGCAGACCACGGTAACATTAATATCAAGTGAGAGAGCCGTTCAGGGGCATATTCTGTGGACAACCCCTTATAGTAATATAATATCAATTTTGGACTAAAAACGACAAAATTGCGGTCTCGCTTCGCTCCGCAACATTCCGAGGGTTACGCCCTCTAACCTCAAATACTGGATTCGTCTATGTGAAAACAAACGACATTCATTTTAACAAAAAACTAAGGTGACTGATCTTATTTGATTGTTCTGTCCTCATTTAAATTCCATCACGATCCTTCTAACACACACATCACCGTTTGTTTGGTAATAGAAGATTTACAAAATTAACATCGATCTCAATCGATTCCAATCCGTTTACTTTGTGTTTAATTTTTTGTGGAAAGATAATCGAAAAGATCGAGTTGTATGCTTAAAATTTTAATGTAAACGCCAATTTTAAAGATATCAGGCATGTATTTCTATGGATCTGAACTGATCTTAATGTGAACATCTATACGTACGTTTTTGGTCTCTGGTGGATAGTTGTCTCATTGACAATCGTACGTACGACGTACACGATCCCGTTTCGTCAGAATATTCAAAATATATACATGCAGTACAAGACCGTAGGCAGGGCGTGCGACAGATACAATTTAACTCCCTCTTTATTTAAAAGGAATATGTTGTACGGACGTCCCTCGGTTTTATTTCTTCAGTTTACCCCTTATTCACCATGCAACTGATTTCAGCTTCCCAATTGTGAACTTTCCGTGCATTTATATGTACAACAGCGTTTCCATAAGGAATCTATATCTCCCAATTGATAATAGCCCAGAGCTTGTGTTTTTTTTTTATCACGATTTCTTGGATAGAATGTTGCAGCTTACAAGGAAGCTAATGAACCAAGGGGGTTTCAAGTGATAAAGTTGAGGCCACTACTTCAAAAATTTTACGGACTACGTTACGAGTTGGTTGACTGTGTTATGGAATACCCTTGTCAGACTCACAGATGACTACGGATATATGTTCCAATTGTCGTAACCTGCACATGTGACATCCCTGAATGAGACATATCATCCAATGTGTACTTATCACAAGCAAAATGACGAATGCCACTCGTGGAGCAGGATCTGCTTACCCTTCCGGAGCATATGCGACCCCTCATGCAGTTTTAGTGGGGTTCGTGTTGCTCATGGTCTTTATAGTTTACTATGTTTAGTGTTATGCGGAAATTTTTTATCTTTTCGATGTCTTTCGGTTTTTTTTCTGCCATGCATCTCGTTGTCAGTTTCCCTTTGACTTATGAGTTTTGAGTGTCCCCTTGGTATCTTACGCCTCTTTTTTTGAAATCGTTTTCCGACTTGGGACATGCGCAAAAAAATATGATGGAATCAAATGTGCTTCTGATCGCTAAATCATACATGGAGGCCTTTCTACCAAACGTAGTTTACATAATTTTTTTTATTAGTTGTTATTAGCTTTGAACTAGCTGTCAGTAACTGCGATTTTTTTTGTTGTGTATAAATACGCTGCCACGTCCAGTCTGTGTTTTCGTTAGATGTTTTCTGCTTTGTATCGATCTGCATGATGAATTAAGCCAAGTTAAGCCCTTTTCAACTGATTTTTATAGTTTGTTCTTATGTTGTATTGTTACATAACTGGCACAGGCTAGGGGAAATTTGGCACCAGCAAACTAGTTTAACCTCGCCACAATCTATATGTGCCTGTCACAAGGCAGGAGCCCTTAGTTCAGTGGTTGTCGTTGGTTCATGTCTGTCATATATGTTTTTCGTAAGTTGTTTTGTTATAATTTAGGCCGTTAGTTTTCTCAATTGAATTGTTTCACATTTTTCATGTCAGGGACTTTTATAGCCGACTATACGGTATGGTTTTTCTCATTGCTGAAGGCCGTACGGTTGCTGATAATTGCTTATATCAACCATTTGAATTTTGGTGGATAGTTGTGTCATTGGCAATCATGCCATATCTCCTTATTTATATATATATATAGCGTTATATGTAACAGTAAAAGAATTAACAAAATGTATAGCAAATTTACATATGACATGTAATACAATATACAGAAGTAATGCAATTCAGTTGATCGGTGTTGGATCGGTAGATATAAGACTGACCATACATCTGTGCATGAAATAACATGTAGTTCAATTAGCATTTTCAATACTGCATGCACGTACTTATATATATAAGAAAAAGTGTTTTACAAATTTAGGGTAAGGTAATGAATAGATCATATAGTTTGAAGCTCTGATAAGGGTATGAGTTTTTCAGAAATGCACTGATTTTTTTACCCATATCGGAGTGACGGTATATTCAGTAGTTTTAGCAACGGTAGTGCTGTTGTTAAAAATGTTAAAGTTATTACTTATAACTGTGCAATATCAAGACAAATGACCATGCATAAGCTGATGGAACGATTTATTTTTGACTTTTTTTTTTAAATAAAACTTTTGCTCACAAACTTATTATAAGAGGATCTGGATGGAAGTCCTTCATTTCGTTATTCTTAAACTTTTTAGACCATTTTTCTCTATTCTCTATTTATTTTGACAATTATTCTCTTTTCTTTATATTTCGTCACCCAATTATTCTCTATTCTTTATTTTCACTGGCGTATTCAGTTTCTCTAATCTTTATTCCCCCTATGTTGTCTCTATTCTTTATTTTTTTTCTTTATTCTTTATTTTTTTCATTTCTTCTGCAATTTTTGTCCACGCATTATTCTCTATTCAAAAACCCCATTCAGATCCTAGCTTTTATATGGAGACGTAGCGCATATGGAATGTTTTAAAATGGGGTTATTTCAATTCCGGAAAATTATATAAAGCTCAACCCGTTACGGTTTTGTATACTATAGCGGTTTCTTGAAGTTGTCTCCCTTCTTTGGCGGTAGATTTTCAAGTTTTTTCCTGAACACTGTTATGACTGTAATTGATTGATGTGGTTGGGTATATAGTACAGATTATGAAATCATGGAAACCGTAGTTGGATTTTTTATAAACATTTAAGGCAAATTTTGCCAAGAGACGAAACTGTCTACATAAATTTATACATTCTACGATTTTGGGTAAGTCATGAAGTTGCTTCCAAAAATTATAAATTAATGAGCCAAACAAATTATCTTCACCGTATAGTAAGTTATAAGAAGCCCATGCATGACAAAATGTGAAACAATTTAAAAGATATAACCAAAAGGGTGAACAGCATGATTTATCTTTGACTTTGTTTACACTACAACATGTCAACAATAAACAAAAACAATGTCAGTGGCAGCAACAAACCACAGATCAGTTGGAACTTTGGAGTAAAAGTTCTGAGAAGCATGATGTTTAGGCCATGGATCCATTTCGGCCTTTCATGTTTCCGTCATACTTATATTTTGGATTAAAAGTACACAAGATTAGGTTGTCTTAACTTTACTACGATAAAAAAACTGAGTTATATCGCATTTCATATGTACAGTTTGAAAATTAACTTGATTACACTGTCGTAAGGGTAATATTTTAATTCAATAAAGAAAAAGTAGTGCAGAACTCACGCTAGCATGTGACTGGGACAAAGAAGTCCCTTCCATCACTTCGCTTGCTCAACTGTCAAAAGAGATATCTAGTCGCCTGGGTGTTAACAAGTCGTATTCAATCGCTTTCGTCAACCGTAATTTTACTTTTTTACCAAGTTGTTGAAACAGCAATTTTTTATTGCTAAGTAAAGAAATTCAAAGACGTATATATGATTTATTTCTTTAGAAAAAAAGTGAAAGCATTGACTTTACCATGTTTACAGATTGGTGTATGTTCATGGTGTTATTTCAAACAAACAACTTTATAAGAAGTGTTTTCTTTCACTTCCGGTACTTGTTACTTGAGAGCGTACATTAAAACATTCCGATTTTTGGCAAAATAAAGTCAAAACATTGTTTATTTTCGTAAATTTTTTATTGTCTGCAATTGAAATATTTTTATGAACCAGGGATTGGAAGCTGATCAGCTATGACTGAAATCCATATTCTTACATGTCTTATGATAATAACAACAGATGCACAAATGGCACAGCTAACAGAAGAATAATGATCCCAAAATGGAAAATTAAGCATCCCACACACATTAACTGACTATTTGTTAGATCTCCTTGCTAAATGTATATATATTTCCATGTAAATGCATAGTTTCAATTTATTAATCACCGCGATATAGCCTTTTTGTGCTGAGGTGGTGTAAAGCAAACACCAATCAATCAATCAATTTATTGATTATATATAATTATAGTTGCTTAACTTTGTTAAATTTTATATCATATTAATGAGAAACAATGAACTTCATAAACATGATAAACATAATAGTTTTTTAATTAAATTTTAATTGATATACATGTATGATACTTTCTTTTCCTTTTTGGTATTAAAAAGTTCTTTCTAGTGCTAGATATTTAGTTGGTAGTTTCTGACAAGCATGACAAGTGTAAAAATATAATTGTGTAAGTTCTAACTATTAATGATTATTTAAGACATAAACTGAAACAATTGTTACCTCAATTCAATGAATTGTATTCAGGTATTCTCCGGTATGAATTGAACAACATAAAGAATAATTAAATAAAAAGGATACATATGGCCACTTATATTATTGTAAAAACCAAACATTGAAGTGCCACCCCGGGAGCGAATGAGCACTTCTCTTTTGAGTCTCACCCCTTCTTCCTGTCTTTTTGAAAAAGAGAATACTTTGAACCTCTCCATTTTCGGAAAGTACACAAAACCACAAATCTATGTCCAGTCTAGGTCATATGAAATACCTGAAGTGTCGAAGAAATCTAAAGATGAATTCTCATTCATAATATCTTCAAACAAGTCCTCTATATTTACATTTCATAGTTCCATATCGTCGATTGTTGGTCTTGTCTAGACTCGGAACGACAAAAAACTTCTCCCTATGATTCTGAAGTAGTGTGAGCCCTTGTAGTGTGTACATCTATTTACAATAGTAGTTTTCTTGATAAGAAACAGTGAAACATTAATTTTCATAGTTTGCTGTGATAATCAGTACAATTTTTTAAAATGATACTCGGCATAAAGAAATATACAAAATTATAATAAAATTAAAATTCCATATATACTTTTGGCGCATGAATGTCATTTCAAAACATGACGTCATAGTATACGAATGAAAATTCTCAAGCTGATGGTTATTCTGTTACTTGTTTGCTCCATATTCCATATAGTTTTTATGTAGGAGCTTTTTATTTTCCATTCTATTGCATTATTTGCACATTTATGGATTTTCAGCAAGCCAATGTGATTGCTCAATTTTTAGCTCGCCTGGCCTAAAAGGCCAAGTGAGCTTTTCTAATCACTTGGTGTCTGTTGTCCATCGTCGTCGGCGTCGTTAACTTTAACCATGTTAACAAAAATCTTCTCCTCTGAAACTACTGGGCCAAATTTGGCTGCATGGCCACAATCATCAATAGAGTCTCTAGTTTAATAAATGTGTCTGATGACCCCACCTGCTAACCAACATGGCCGACATGGCTAAAAATAGAACATTGGGGTAAAATGCATGTTTGGTCTATTATCACATAAACCACTATGAATGGAGAAAATCTGTCAGGTGCAAAAATGTTCAGTCAGAATTATGAGATCTACATATAGTCTATTTACTTCAAAACTGTCAGACGATTTCCTATACATTTCTATAGGCATGAAAGGAGTAATTGCCCTTAAATGACAATTTTTACAGATTTTTTATTGCCTAATATCATGAATATCTAAAAAACTATAATAGATAGAGAGAAACTTTATATATCAAAAATGATCAACAAGACAAGATCTACAAATAAGTCTACATGGTCTATGTTGTCAGACGACTCCTTTTTGGAGTAAATGCCCTTTTATGACAATTTTTATCATTTTTTTGCGTTTTTGTCTAATATCTGAAAAACTTTTATAAATGATAGATAGAAACTTAAATAAGCAAAAGTAATCAGCAAGATAAGATCTACAAATAAGTTTACAATCATGAAATTGTCTGACGACCTCTTATATATTGAAGTTATTGCCCTTTGATAAAGATTTTTACCGTTTTTTTTCGTTTTTGTCTAATATCTGAAAAACTATAATAGATAGATAGAAGCTTAAATTAGCATTATTGATCAGCAAGACTTGATCTATAAATAAGTCAAAAAGCCGAAATCCATTAGTCGACTCCTTGTTGGAGTACTTGCTCTTTAATGACGATTTTTACCAATATTTTACGTTTTTGACTACTATTTGAAAAACTATTATAGATAATAGATAGAAACTTAAATAAGCAAAAGTGATCAGCAAGACAAGATCTACAATCATGGAATCGTCTGACGACCCCTTATTGGAGTTATTGAACTTTAATAATGATTTTTACCATTTTTTTGGCGATTTTGCCTAATATCTGAAAAACTATAGGTGTCAGACCACCAATTCAAAATCCCTATCTATTCAACCAAATTTTGCAATTTTCACAGCTTTCTTAAAAATTTACCTTAAGTTTAACTTCATAGAAACCAGGTATATCCTGAATTGTACATGTATCACCTTTCTACATACCAGTTTTCAACACATGTTTAAAGTCTTGTAAGAAAGAACTGCCTTTTTGAAGACAAGTGCTACTAAAAATAACCCCTGGTTTTCTGGATTGGAAATCTTAAGTTAGTATTCTATGGAACGCATTACAGGCATGACCTGGGGTAAAATAGAACAGCCACACACACAGCACACTAATCTTCATTTCAGTTTTTTAAATTACCGTATTTGTCCTATTAGAAACGAAATAATTCATGCTAGCCATACAAAATGTAGATTTGTTATCATTTTCACATGGCCTGAGAAAACATTATTTTTGAACAGTTTTAATTAACCTGCATAACAAATTTTTTTTTGCAGAAAGATAGCAATGGCATCTGATGACGATATAGCATCAAGATTACATACCTGGGCTTTACAAGAGATGCACTTCCATCCACAGGGTAGACATGTTAATACACCTTTACCAAATGCAAGCCAGTTCAAACAGTAAGACATTACATAATTCGACCCTTTCAATTTCTATGTCCAGTGAAAATAAAAATGGCGAAAACAATGTGTTTCACAAAATACCATGAAACAACACATTTTTGTCTCGCCTTGACGGAGTCAAAAAACGAGACATAGGTATGCTGTTTCAGGTGTCAGCTGCGACGGCGACGTCAACAATGTATCAGTTTGTGATTAGGTCTAGTTCATGGTGAACCACTAGTGGTAGGCCAATGATATTTGGTATGCAGTTGTATTAGCATTGGCACATCTCATTACCATGTAGATTATTTGGCCCCGCCCCCTCAGTCAAGGTCTATTGACTTTGAAACTTTTCATAGTTTACATGTATTAGTTTATGATTAGGTCAATTTATGGGGAACCACTAGTGTTAGGTCAATGATATTTGGTATGTCGTTGTATAAGTATTGGCATATCTCATTTCCATGGAGATTATTTGGCTCTGCCCCCTTAGTCATGGTCTATAGACTTTGAAAGTTTTGCTAAGTTTACATGTATTAGTTTGTGATTAGGTCAGTTCAAGGGGAACCATTAGTGGTAGGCCAATGTTAATTGGTGTTCAGTTGTATAAGCATTAGCACATCTCATTTCCATGGAGAATATTTAGCCCCGCCGCCTCAGTCATAGTCTATTTACTTTGAAACTTGCTTAGTTTACATGTATTAGTTTGTGATTAGATCAGTTTAAGATGAACTGCTAATGTTAAGTCAATGATATTTGGTATGCAAATTTATTGGCATTTGCAAGTATCGTTTCCATGGAGATTATATAGCCCCACCCCTGATCATGGTTCATTGACTTTGAAACTTTTACATAGTTTACATGTTAATGTTTGTGTTTAGGCTTGTTTAAAGGGAAGGACTTATAATAAGTCAATGGTATTTGGTATGCAGTTGTATAAGCATTGGCACATCTCATTCCATGGAGATTGATTAGCCATGTACCTTTAGTCATGGTTCATCGACTTTGAATATTTGCATAACTTACATGTTAAAGTATTGCTATTTTAATTTCAACATTTGCATTATCAAAATTATACAAAGGTGAGACATATCTCTGTGATAACAGTTTATTTATAGGAACAATGCTTTTATTGCTGTAAAAGAGAGGCAAAAGATACCAAAGGGACATTCAAACTCATATTGAAAATTAACTGACAATGCCATGGCAAAAAAAAAGAAAAAGACTTAAAGACGAACAACAGTGCACAAAACACAACATAGAAAACTTATTATATAAAGACTGAGCAACATGAACCCCACCAAAAACGAGGGGTGAAAAACTGATAAAAGGTGTATGCTATTTAGAGATGGTTTTTTAACTTGAGGATATCATTTATTCTGGCATGTATGGATATCCTGCAAAAATATTTGGCTTTTTGTCTTATAAATTTTTTTTCACCTAATTTGATAAAACAATTTATGTGTTCTCTTTAACATGTTTAAATTAAACAAAGATAAGATTTATACATGTATTATTATCAATATTTTTTTATTCATTTTCTATCAGAATTTTCCGAGGTCCTTCAGCAGATTTCTGGAAGTTTGTATTATCAAGAGTTAGATCTGCACAGTATGTATATAAATGTAAAGAGTAACTTTATCAAAAAGAGTAACATATCACGATGTAAAAATCTATAGGATAAGGCCTGACGAGGACAAAGAAAACCAATAAACAAGCTTAAAATATCTGCACTTGTAAACTCTGACTTCATCTTCGGCTTATATGCTTCTGCTGGATTGGCTTATGACGTCATGACATCCTCGCTCTTCTCAGCTTTAAAAGAAATCATCTCAGTAGCAAAAGAGAGTACAATTATGAAAAACACAAAAATGAAAGACAAATGTAAGAAAAAAGCAGTATAATCACAAATGTAACTTGAATATCAGCTATAGTTCCACAGATTTAGGGGCATCTGAACTCTATTGTAAAGTTATATTATTTACATGTATTAACATATTGCTAATCATATTAAAATATTTACTGATTTTCAGGACAGTGAAGAAAGTGAAAGGAAATTTGGGATTGTATCCTTCATTTATTGTTTTATAAAAAAAAATATGCTAGTTGTATTATAAATCTGAACTGAATCACACTTTTTGTACTATGGATAGTGAAATTATGTCCTATTCATTGAGAAATGGAAAATACATTGATAAATTAACAGGTAACACAGCATAGTTTGACACTTTACCATTTGTTTACAAAACTATGAATAATGGCAAGTGTTGGGCGAAAAATGGATAAGACAGCAATCCAGCAACACAATTTAGCAAAAAGAGAAATGTTTAGTAGATACAAACATAAACATAAAAAACATAAAAGTAATGTACTACCTAATTAGGAATTACTCTTGGTTTGTGTTCTTCTTTAAAATGATTTCTGACCTCATCATGCTCATATGAACTTGATTGAAATGATTAAAATTATATGGAGGTCTTCACAGTACACAATTTTTCAAAAGAACACCATAAGAAATTGTAATGTAATAGATGAGGGTCATATATTTGCCGATTATATCCTGGGATATATCAAAATGCTGTGAAAATGCTCCAAACTGAAAATAGAATTATATTCCTTAATTTTATGAAGAAAACGACATGCAGATAAGTCATATAAAGTCAAATACAAAACTGGCAATAAATTTGATGAAGAAAAAGAGAACCTTCTGGAACAGAGAAACAAGTTGACAGGGGAGGTAACTTCATTGTTTACTGACATTAACCATCTGGAAAATGACTTCAAAAGGCTTGAACAGGAAGTGGTAGAAGCAGGTTAGTGGAGAAAAAAATCATTGAAAGGAGGGGGTATGATAATAGACATTTTGTTGGCACTAGAAATTGCAAAAAAGTAAACTTGTAAAGCTTAAGGATGTTATTTGGTAGTTTGTTGATTTTAGAATTCAAGGGCTCTAAGGAGTGGCTTTTTCATGTCCTCTTCTTAATTGATGCAATAAACAGAAATAGATACACAGTAAAAACTGTATGTATTTTTGTTGACTTTAAATTATCATAATTAAAAGTTAAGTGCATCTGCATTTAATTTTTTGTATTATATAAAGTATATATAACATAATCATTTGGAAATATAAGGAATTAAATCCCATTATTTCATATATATTATATAGGATAAATCATTTGGCGGTAACAAAATAAAAATTGATAAAAACAAATTAATAATATTTTTGGAAGAGATGAAAATGTGATGTGAAAGATACCAAAGGGACATTCAAACCCATAAGTCGAAAATAAACTGACAACGGCATTGCTAAAGAATAAAAAGAACAACAAACAAACGACAGTACACAAAACACAACATAGAAAACTAAAGACTGAGCAACACGAACCCCACCAAAAACTCGGGGTGATCTCAGGTCATATTTAAAAGTATTTTTGAAATAAAATATAATAGGGGAAGTTTAACAACTACAAACATGTTTAACCCCGCCACATTCTATATGTGTCTGTCCCAAATCAAAAGCCTGTAGTTCAGAAGTTGTCGTTGGTTCATGTCTGTCATATTCGTTTTTCGTAAATTGTTTTGTTATACATTTGGCCATTAGTTGTCTCAATTGAAGTATTTCACATTTTTCATGTCAGGGCTTTTTATAGCAGACTATACAGTATGGCTTTTTCTCATTGTTGAAGGCCGAACGGTTGCCTATAATTGCTTACATCCACTCCATTTGATTTTTGATTTTTGGTGTTTTAACGCCACTTTTAAGCACCACTTTTGGGCTATTTCGTGGCAGCCAGTTTTTATTGGTGGAGGAAGCCGGAGTGCCCGGAGAAAACCACCGACCTTCGATAGGAAAACTAACAATCCTAGTCAATTAAGATTGGAGTCGAGTGCACCTGCATGAACGGGATTCGAACTCACAACCTCAGTGTTGACTGGCTAGTGATTACAGTAGTAACTACTTAGACCACTCGGCCACTGAGGCCCCTCACTCCATTTGAACTTTGGTGGATAGTCATGATAGTTGTCTCATTTGGCATTCATACCACATCTCCTAATTTTTATATACTGTCTCTTTTTAATAGCATCCTATGTTTATATGAGTGTCACTTTAATTTTTGAAGTAAGAAAATTGTCATTCAATACAATTTAAAAAACTTTAACTTTATGATTCATAGCATTTGGCCATCAAGCTATCTTTTTGACTAAAGTAGTTTCCCTTGTTTGGTTGGAATAAAACTTGTACAGATGGAAGATATAGAGAAAGGGGAGAAGCCTTTTGATTTTGGGATCAGTAAGTTAAAGGTCAATGTGACTGTTACTAAATCAGGAAATATTTTACATTGTAAAAGCTCTTTATCACACTAAATATCTTTTCAGAGACCAGATACCAGACATCTTGTAATGAAATCAGCATCTTGAGACGTCAGAGAGCTTTAGTGCAGACTTACTCATTGCAAACAAATGATACAGCTAAACATTATGAAGAATATACCAAGAAAATAACAACACAGGCTGATAAACTTCTAAATAAGGCAAAGTATGTATGGAACCCTGGTTTATCATATTTACACACACACAGAAATTTCCATATAGGGTGTCTGGTCCTAAAAGCAGTGTGCCTGATTATATAGGTTACTTGTTGTTTCATGATAATTTCTATCAGACAATAGACGACCTTTTAATTAAGGCATTTTCCCGGAAAAATTTGAAGTCACTAAGTAAATATCTTCATGTCACAATGTTCTATGACGTGTTTTTCCCCAAAATGAACCCAGGTCAACTGAGGCAGCTCACTTGTAAAAACAAAATTGGAAATTGGTCTATTGGTAAGACACCTGTCTAAAATTTGCCTGACATGTCCAACGATGAGACATAATTTGAAAACTCTCCTTATGATTATTTATCACAAATTTTTGCAAACGCTATTTACATTAATATTGTCAGCTTGTTATGAAATCCCAATTTTATATTACAGGAAAGGATCAGAATATTACAGTAGAAAGAGGAGTTCTACAGACGATGATCATTATAGTTCCTCTCTAGAGACCAGACAGGGGGTATATTAATTAATCATTTCTATGCAATGATTTTTAAGGGCACTGGATGCCATGGACGATTTCTTGTAAACTTTCTAAACAGTGGATATTTAGTGACTGATGTCATAGTATTTTCATATCTATTTAAGCACAATAAGATATAAATGGTCCTTTAGAAATGGTCCTTTAGATTCTGAAGCAGGAAAGTTTTTCATTTTGTTATTTTGTTGCAAGAAAAATTAAATATAGTTGAAATATCTAACATCACAATACACTATAAACTGTTTCATTTCAAATGACAACAATTATATTAATTTAAGATAAATCAAACTATAACCAGCCCTAGTTTTAACTTTGCAAGTTGAAGCAGCATATTTTTTTTACGTACAAAAAAATTAATGCAACATCCTAGATGTTAAAACTAAAATACATTTCTTAATTATTCATTTAAATAAGAAGTAACATTATTAAAGGTCTTAACCAAACTTAATACTTGGATCTCAATATGAATCCTACTCATTTTCCAAACATTAAAGTCATTATTTTTAGGAGTTGGAACAGTTATTTCTGGAAATATTATATTTTGATGTCATATTTTCATACTTTATTACAGAAACAAGTTAGAGAGACATGTGAAGCCATTGGATCTTTTCTTCAGAAAATGTTACAAGGAGAGTTTGGGACAGATAAAACTGTATTGTAAGTTCAAAATTAATATGAAATAAAGAGATGTGGTATACTTGCAAAGAGACAACCTAACCACCAGAGACCAAATGACGTAGAAGTAAACAAATATAGGTCACAGAACGTCCTTCAACAATAGTCTATTCCGTCTTCACCCTTAAACAAACACCAATATTATTGATGAGAGGGACCATTATACACAAAGTTTTTGTGGGTTTATAGGGTTAATCAGCCTGTCAATCCGTCTTTCTGTTTGTCCATGTGCCTGTAATCACAACTCAAAACGGACAACATGGATATTGAAACTTTACCATTGTGTACACTACCTGAGGATGTGTTAAATGAATAAATCCTGTTCCGATATGTTAAAACTGAGGAAATTATCGGATTTGCAAGGAGTCCACTCACATTTTAGCTAAATCAGACCTATTTACAGAAGCCAGTATTACTGCTAAATACACAAGTTATGTTTTTATCTTGAGGGGATAACTGTGTACATGTACTATATTTTTACATTGTAAATATTTCAGTCAGTCAAAGAAGGATATAATATGGAAATCAGTGGAAGAATTATTAAGTGAGTTCAGTGTGACACAGATACTGAATGCTTTGGTAACCAATACACAGGAGTCAGCCTTTACTCTGAGAGATATGACATCTAAAGTAGACATCAGGAGAGATGCTGAAAAACTCAGGTAATTTGAATATACACAAATTATTTTCACTCTCTCTGGTGAATTTAACTTTAAAAAAAGCATAACTTTTTCTAGTAAATTTCAAGCGAAAGGAGATTGCAATTTTCAGTTTGTAAATTCATTTACGAAAAAAAAAATCTTTTGAATTTCTCTTCATTTAACAAAAAACAAAATCATTTACGAGTAATTGTGACCAATCAAGTCCACTAGTGAAGCAATGCACGAAATGTGTTGACATTGTACTGAATTTTATCATAAAAAATGAAAACAACACGTTATTATAAGTCTCATTTCAATTGCTAATTAATTTTTTTTGAATTTTAAACTAAAGTTGTATTACATGAAACTATTAAAATATGTCCTGAAATATGAATATTTTCTGATGAAAGCTGATTATATTATGATAATACAAGATTTAGTTTTCTAGCCTTCTTCTTTTTTCCTTTTTTGTTGTTGAAAAATTGTCTTTGAAGTGATGTTGACAGCTGTACATTTGTTTATTAGAAAAATAAAAGATAATAATTTAGTTCTACTGTGTACCTGTAATGTATTTATAGGTTTAAATATGAAAGAACAGGACAACTCAGAGATGAATCTAATCCTCCAAATATCTTACAAAGTGTTCACCAACTGTTAGAGGTAAATAAGATAAGTGATTTATGTGATCTTTTGATTATTTCTTATATGTTAATTGATATTTAATTCATTCTTTCTACAGAATTATGATTTTATTCCTATCAGAGTTTTATTTTGAAAAAAATTAATGCAAGTCATATTGTAATAAATCTGAGATATCAGTTTTTAGAGTATAAAGTCCTCATTTCAACGTGAAACAATTATCAGATTCTAAAAGCTGTTTAATTTCATTTTTGTGTCTTTTGCACATGCACAGTAACAGGTTTCTGTTGAATCCATGTTATCTCTAACCTTTCAAAACAAATTTGTTCCTGAATTTTGCTAACTTTCACATTAACCAATTCATTCCAAATTTTTTGGGTTATAATTGAGCATGCAATTGTCTTGCAAATATGTATGATTGATTTACCAAAATGTAGCATGGCATTAACACAGATTCTGTCCTCTTTCACAAATAATTCCTACCTCATATAATACCATTTAAGTTTTCCGGCATGACTTATGACTAAATATATTTAATATCAGTTGTCTGACCATGAGGCATAAATTATTTAAATGAATTGTATATCCCTAATTAGCCAGATAAGCCCAGGTAAAGGATTCTTACATTATTTAAGAAGTTGTGTCTGCCTATGAACATTCTGTCATCAGAATTTATAGGTGTTTCATATACGAAAATTAGAATAATTCCTGTTTAGCCATTTATCACGTCTAGTCTTTGTAAATTTATTATCCATTATTTTTATTTTGAAAGTTGCAAAAAAGAGGCAAAGACATAACCATGACAAACAGAACAACAGTCCATAAAAGTCAAAGATTGAACAATATGAACCCCTCAAAAAACAGGGATGAACTCTGGTCCATCAGTTATTGTTCAACAAGTGACAAATTGCAACTAGACTTTAGAATTTCATTTTATGTTTTAATATATTTTATGTATATCTGGGGAAAAAACAATTGTATTGAAAAATTTATTTTCGTAGGAAAATCAAGTAAACCAGATAAAAAGATTTGTAGAAACAGAGAAGTTTTGTAATGAGACCTGGAAATTGGAACAAAGATTTGCTGAAGTCAAGGAAGAAATTGATACTAAATTACAATTTGTTTTCAAAAACCATAAAGATTTAAAACTTGCAAGGTAGTTTATAGTACAGGCTGTTAGGTTAATTTTTTTTATAAGACTTTGTGAAAATGATGGGGACTAATGGAGTTACCTCTGAGTTCTACTTCTCGAGTGTGTTCTTGTGCATGTACACACTTAGTTATCAGACACTGATTGAAATACAGACGTGCATGTACTGATGTTGTGTCATGGATGGATACCCCATATCCTTTGTTTTTCTATTATAACTATTGTTTGGCTCATGTCCAACTTGATTGATTGATTTATTGATGTTTGCTTAAAGCAAGTGGCAAATATTTCATGAGTATTCTGCACCTTAAAAAAGCTGACCATGTAATTAATGACAAAGGTCACATGACCCATATGCATATATCATAGTTTACCAACTTAAGTTTCAAGTAAAAAAAAAACATCAGAAAAATCCTGAACTAGAAAAAGACAAGTTTAACAAATTACAGATAAAAAAACCATACAATTACATGCAAAAAAATGCAAAAAAATGCTTGATATAACTTTAGCAACACATATTTGTTGTAACTAAAAACTAGCAGTCATAGTTATTAATGTTCTGAAAATGAAGTGATATTTTTTCACACTAAGATGTAGCATAGTAATTCAGACTGAACATCATATAACAGTGATGAGAAACATTTTCTTATGCAATGTCAACAACAAATTTGTATACATCTACGTCATTCAGCTCTGACAGATAAGTGTCTCGCTGGTAAACATACCACATCTCCTTATTTTATATACAGAATTTCAATACAGGAAAGAAAATACTGTAAATTCAGAAATTTTTATGAGGTTTTCATTATTGTGAAAATTGAAATGGGATTGGTTTTGCAAAAATAAAAACTCACATTTTATATAAATTTCAATAGAATTATTTGTATGCAATATTTTCTGAAATCATAATAACAAAAATAGCACTTTTGTTTTCTGAATTAACAGTAGATAAAATAACTTGTTATGCCACACTACTGTCCTTGTTAAAAAGCTCTTTTGTAATGGAAGTGTGACTTTCAAGAAATTAAGAGATTTTACTTCAGACATGTACATATTGAACTTAAGATATTCAATGAATACTTACTTGTTTTGTTCTTTTGTAGAGAATTGATTGAATGTGATATAGATTTAGTGGGCAGAAAAGCCATTCTAGCTAGTTTGAACTGTGAAGCTAACAATTTAAGAGAACTTATTTCAAAATCATTGAAGGATAAAGACATTATATGTGCCAAATTCCAAAGAATTCAAGATTTTAAACAAATAGTGGTAAGTAAAGTGATATCTGATAATAAAAAGGGAAACATGTTTAAATTTATTATATGACATTTTTAGAGGATACTTTATAGGCAATAACTTAGACGCAATAAAAAAAATAAGAATGCTACTGGAGACTAAAAACTAGCAGTAAAACTCTTTTTTATGTGTTACAAGGAAGTTTTTAAGATATATATAGTTTAATTTTTTATAGATAATTGAGGGTTTTTCATACGAGAAACTTCCTCAACTTTGAAAGTCAATTCATAACCTGTTTATCACTAGATTGCCTATGACATTTTTTATGTTGAAATTGACAACCGCATGTGTACCGTTAATTTCAAGCGACAATTTTCTATCTCAACTGAGCAGCATGAAATGAAAAAATTATTACAAAAAAAGATGAAAGAAAAATACACAAAACAGCGAGAACAATTATTCAATTATTATGTGAGCTTCATGTGAATTCAGTCAAAGAGAAATTATCCAAATCTGAAGCATAAGCTTATAGCAAGTCAATTGGTTATTTATTTCCCCTTTAAGATTAATACTTAAAGTTTACTCCCAAATAAACAAAAAACAGATGGTTAAAAAAAATTAATAGGATATATTGTTGATATTGTTACACTTTAAATAAAACAGTTAACAAGAAAATTTAATTCAAAAGATTTCCTTTGTAAGTTTTATGTATAGGGATAGTAACCATATATTGTCAGTCTTCAACTTGACATGCCTGACTTTACCAAAAGTTATATTTTGAAAAGCTCCCTTCTTATGCAATAGAAGCCTCGGTGGCCAAGTGGTCTAAGTAGTTCATCTACAGTATCACAAGCATGTTATCATCAAGGCTGTGAGTTCAAATCTGGCACATGACACTTAAATCTTTATTAGCTAGGATTGACAGTTTTCCTACCAAAGGATTGGTATTTTCTCTGGGCACTCCTGCTTCCTCTAACAATAAAAGTTGGCAGCCAGGAGATAGCCAATTGTGCTGAAAGTTGTTTTAAATACCAAATGTTATGTGATATTAAATATTAAATGTAATTTTCTTAATTATATATATTTTAGGAAAGAAAACAAAATTTGATACAGGTTCTTGCCAGACAGAATTATAATGCTAAATCTAGATTAGAAGATCAAAGGAAAGAGGTAAACAAATAAAGATTTGACAGTAGACTGAATGTAATATATTACTGTGTTTGATGAAGGTTTCTGTTTTAAAGTTCAGGGATGTTAAGGGGTCCAAAACATAGATTTTAAACATTCTTTATGTTTGGTTATACATATACCTCAGAAATGCTCATTGTTGAAGGCTGTACGGTGACCTATAGTTGTTAATTTCTGTGTCATTTGGTCTCTTGTGGAGAGTTGTCTCATTGGCAATCATACCACATCTTCTTTTTTATATCATAATCAAAGGTTTGAAAAGTAAAATGCATGATATACATGGAAGAAATTACTCTGACATAGAATTAAACAAATAAACTGATGTGGGAATATTATCATTTGGACAGCCACCCAACAACATAACTTAAGGTATTCCAAGAGAACATCTGCAGATCATTAATGAATATTTAACAATGAAAAAGTTTACTCAAGGTAAAGTATGAAGTTAACAGAGACAATTGACACTATCACTCTACTGACTAAATTACTTAAAGTAAATCAGCAAAAATATGAAGAGACTGATTATGGCAACAGGTTCCTGAATTGGGCACACTCATTTTCAACCACAAATTAATGTAATTTTTGTATTTGTTCCCAGATTGATCAGTACATAAACAAGTCCTTGTCTACACACTTCACAGAAACACAGTCACTGACCATTGGGTTGCATGGATCTGTTGTAGATGAAATAGATAAATTTACAGCCCTGGCCTTACCTAATTTATTATTTACTGTTGTCAATGAAAGGTAAAATATTGTATATAAATACTTTGATGTGTTAATGCAATAGGCTATTGCCTTACAGAATAGCTATTAGCATTAAAAAAATCATGTCGGAATCATCCATTATGGTGACATTGAATAAAATAATGCTATGGGTCTTACAAAAAAGTTATTGCTTGCTATTTGAATATGATTTTCAATTTGTAAAATGGTATGGCAAAAGCAATTACAGCTAGATGATTATGTAAAGCATGCACAACGTAATCTTCCTTCATATATTTGAAATGGTTTTTCTCAAGAATTTAAACTCGTATGACAAATACATTTGTGAATTGAAAATAAGAGGCAAAAGGCAACAAAATGGACACTCAAAAACTAACACTACTGTGGAAAAAGAAAAAAAAAAACATGAAAAGATAAAAAACTGTCTACAAAACACAACATAGAAAACTAAAGGCTGAGCAACAATGACCCCAACAAAAACGGGGGTGATATCAAGTGCTCTGGATATGTAAGCAGATCCTGTTCTACAAATAGAAAATGTAGAATGGTACCTTATGATAATGTCTAAACACACTATGGTAACATGTGTGGGAATTAATAAGAATATAGATTGCAACTTATTTACTTTTCAGTGCTTTGAAGACCCCAATATCAGACATTTCTATAAACCAGACAACAAATCCATCCTACCAACAGTTACAACAATTATTAGATACTGTACAGTTCCCACCATATAAGGTAAATGTTTGTAGATAATTGTCAAACATTGTATTAGGTTCAAGGAATTCGAAGTTAAGCGGTACATGGTACAGATCTGTTCAAGAATAATTCATTCATAGATTTCAAAGACTGATAGTAGGTCTTTTTGAATGTTTCTTGGAAATTTAAATTTATTGAGGGCTGTTCCGTTAAAATATACATAATGGGATGCCAAGGGGCAGCTTGAATTTACCTCTATGGGTTGATGTGAAATATATGTTATCGATGTTCATATAAGTTTAAAATGAATGTCTCCAAATTGCATCTGTATGGGGTTTCTTCATTTTCAATCTGCCTTTCCCTGGTACCATGTTTGTTCAATGAAACACTGCATAGAAAATCAAATATTGAAGAAAATGAACCTCACCAGTAACTAGATGACAGAGTAAGTTGATCTCAAAGGGTAATCAGATTTTGCTCCACTAAAGACAACCTTTTTGTTACTAGTTTTAAAATCTTAAATAAGTCATCATTTCTGATACACTGTAATGCATCACCCAATAGGTAAAGTAGTATACAATAATTACACAAATAAATATATATTCAATTCTTTTATCTAACAGAAAAAACCAGTCATAATAGAATTTTGCTTGAAGTGCCTACCTACCCTTTGGTAATATTTTTGAAAAAGTCAACATCCATGCAATTATTAATTCTGTATGGCTTTAAGGATTAATTTTTAAAAAATGGCAATATGCACTTAAGTAATTAGTGTTTTGTAGATCTAAAAATAAATAAACACCATTTTGAATGAGATGGTTTGCTAAAAACCTGCATTAAGTTAGAAACTTTTTAAACTTAAGGCTTTCATAGCATTTTGTTGTTTAAAATTCATCTGTTTATGGTAGATGAATCTTATGTCTGTCATTATTCATAGGGTTTTATTGCCTTTTTTATGACATGGCAATAGCAAAATCAGAGGACAAAATGAAAATTCAAGCTATGACTAAGTGTTGACCATAATGAACCAAGAATAACAACTTTTCTTATAATATAAAAATAATTAAAACCTGTAGGAGAAAAGTTAAAGTCTGCTAAAAATTAGAGAATAAGTTGTAGAAGTTTTTTTTCAAGATTCCTGCCCTGATAAAACTGATAGCTATGGAAATGTGTTAACTTGAAGAAATTGGTATTTTATCCTGAAATTCAAACAAACAGTAAATTAGGTACATTGAGGAAATTTTTGCACATAAAATTACAGAAAAAACTGATAAATAATTTGCAAAATGAAAATTTTTCGTCCACACGTTTTTCCAATACCAGTACTACTGAACAGAATGAGCTGCTTGGAAGCAATGATTTGTGATGTATGAGCATTTTGTCTTAGCCATATACTAATACTTTAAATGGTTAACAATGTTGAATGAACTTTAAATTTTATAGTGTCACCCTTAAGCAGTACTACTATTCTTTTTTTTTTTCTGTTAAATGAAGAATGGAGAATGGATTTTCTTATTAACATGAAAACTAAATCAAAAACTTGCCTTAAGAACAATAACCTACAGTACGGGTAGAGACTTATTACTATAAATAACGGACTGGGACATGTCGGAAATGAATAATCCGACTTTTTTATGGTAGGTAGTATGGTCATAAATCAACAGATCCAGGTGTGAACCATAATATAATTGTCCTTTCATCTCAATCCGTGCTACAAGATTATTACGCTTCACTGATTTCAGAATCAGGTTACCTGTGATTTAAACCTCTCAGTCACTTTATTGATAAGTTCTACATCGTATTTGACATAAAATATTTTTACAGGTGAAGAACTGGAACAACTTTGTTTTAATAAAAATAGCCTATTTTTTTAATTATGGCTTTTTGTATTTCAAATGCTGTTTATATTCCTCAAAATATTATTTTCTATGTTCCCTGTTTTTTTTTGTTATGTATCTTTTTCGTATTTGTTGGCATACAGTTTTTAAAATATTTTCTTTTTAATTTCTTGAAGGTAATTTTTGTTTTACTGATTTATTTTCCATGTAAACCCATTGATTAGCAGAATGATGTGCAAAGTGCTGCTGCATACGTTTTAGTTTGACAACACTACATTTGTATTTAATTTTCAGTCTGCGTTGGGTCAGTTCTGAAATAAAAATAATTACAGTGAGCAATACTTGTATACTAGTAGTTAGGTGATTCTTTATAATTGTGAATTTACTTTTTACTGTAAACAAATATTGTCCGAAAGTTGGTGATATATAACTAAAGTAGTACACAAATAATAACACTAGAAGAAGATAACGATATTTCTCGGGGATTAGGTTTATTTTGATATTTCTGTGTTTGTTAAATATGCATGAAATAATTGCCACTGACATGAATGGACATTAAAACTAGAAGCATTCAATCGTTTGATGACCAGTTAATTAAATATTTACTATGATTTGTAGTCTTAAAGAAATGCAATTTCTCCTATTTAAATAATTTTATGGTGCTGCATTGACTCTTAATTGCATAATATTAATTTACGCACAATGCATGTTAACTTGTATGTTGTATTTTTGACACCAATCTAAAAAAAATATTTGCCGTGAAAAGACAATTCCATGATACACTTATCAGTGATCAACAGCATGTGGTTGAACTTTGAACTTGACTTCACTCACAATACAATGTTGAATGCTAAAAATAGCTGGGATTAATTTTGTCAAATGCACGTGATTTTCATATGGCGGGAAATATCGTAACAGTTAACACAGGTGACCTTACTGACCGACCGTGGGAAAATCCATTCATGATTTAATTTGATACGTAATGATTGGCAGTATTGTGCGTTAGTTTTGAGGCTCATGATCGAGATCCATTAATAATTGATTTACCAGAATAGAAAATTTAATCCTTGTAATTATAAACAAAACAAGCTTTAGTCTTCTTTAACTATTTTATTTATTATATTTATTAGTCAACACCCAGATTCCTATTTAAATAATTTTCGGACACCTCCTTTAAAGTTCGGGAATTATACAATTTAAACTGCCGAGATTGATTTACAAAATCTTACTGACTGCACGAGCTTTAGAGAATGGCTAGAAATACGACGCAAAAGTAAAGATGGCTGATCGTGAATAGTGTAAAACTTTGATCTTCATGTATTGATTGACACAATTCGTTAAATATGTTTATAAAAAACACAATTTTCATTAAAATTTCAAACATGGAAATAGAAAGGCAATATCTTTGTTATAATACAACGAGTGTCAACAAATCTGTTATTTCCATTATATGTAAATTTATTAACAAACAAAATTTAAAATAATGCTGGATCATAGAATATTGACGTGCATATGAAAAGTTTTTTTTATATAAAAACTAGGAATCGAAAGATGATCACTGCGTTATAAATATTGTAAAAAAACAATTGTTTCAAAGAGATTAACGGGAAATATATGTCAAAATAGAAAGCACGGATGATCTGGCTGACCAAATTGTTTTACTTGCGAGAAATGATTGACAGGTATGAATAGACGTAGAGGCTCCGACGGGGAACGTGGTATCGTAAGGAAAAGAACAGTTTATTCACAATGCCTATATTCAATTTGTTTATATACTTTATAAATATGATATGTTGGCCTTATACTTAAAATTGTGTTTCTATTAATAACTTTAAGGAACAGGACGTTAAAAAGGGGAAATATTATAACCATCAACGAAAACTCGTATAATTTACGGGATTGATGTCTCAACATTTTGATTAAAACTTCGATTGAAAACAGTCCTGGTTGTTATAATTTTGAATAAAATGAAATATTTACGGTTTACAAATACAAATACAAATAGTTTATTGGCACAAACACAATTATTATAATTGGCAACACATTTTTACAGTACGTACATTGTTAAAAATCGTCTTTCTTTCATTTTCAAGTTAAAAAAAAGTTGATCCCATATTCATGATATTTCATTTTTATTTTTATTGTAATTTTTTCTTTGAATACAAAACAATATTTTACATTTATTATCTATCCTCCATAAATACTAAAATATCTATACAGGTAAAATTTAATTCTAATCAACCTGGTACAGATTGATTTACGACCTTCCACTCGGATATTGTACAGGTTAATATCACAGCAGGTTTTAATTACACTGAGACAACTGTCCGGCCAGTCTGACATCTAGACGGATTAAGACATCCATAATAATAAGTCTCTACCCGTACTGTATAGTATATTTTTAATTGTTATTTTTAGGCACCAGAATGTATATTACTACACTGTTTGAAGATGAAGTATGAAGATACATTAAAGAAAATAAAATGGTCTGATGAGGACATTTCTTCTTCACAAATTGAAGGTATTTACACAGATTTATTCTCCAAGTGTAATAAGGCTCCAAGTTTTAATAAGAGTGTAATTTATATTTTAGTCATTATCACTTTACTTTGCTATTTTTGTAATTTTGAGATATGTTCAAGCTTGAATTGAGACCTTTGAAAATTGCCAAACAAAATATTACAGTAGACTCCACCTAATCGGATATCGGCTAAACGAATATATCAGCTATTGTAATATTATTTCAAAACACCAAGCCCTTCCCTATATGTTTAATGTTAATTATATCGTGTAATCGAATATCGAATACAAGAATATATCGGCAAATCGGATAAGAATATTCAGGAAATTTGGTTCAAAACCATGCACAATCGGATATTTTCAATGTTTTTCTGACAGGAAATGGACCCCGAAGTTACGAAATTACAATCTTGCAGACAAGAAAATTTAGTTTTTTAGCTCACCGTTCCGAAGGAACAGTGAGCTTTAGCCATCACTTGGCATCCGTCGTCGTCGTCCTCGTCCTCGTCATCCGTCTGGTGTTAACTATTTCAAACATCTTCTCCTCTGAAACTACTGAACCAATTCCAACTATGTTATTACAGCTAATTTTATCCCTTAAGAGCCTCGTCTCATTGATTTACCATGGTTAATCAAAAATGTATTAATTTAATTAGAAAATTAATTATCAAGGCTATGCAT